TGTTAAAATTAAAAAATAAAACAGATGTGATTATTCCTTTAAAAATAAAGAGTTATTAATATTTATTAGCAGTAGTAGCATTGAGTCTTCAGACTGCTAAATAGTAATATATTCTGACAGTTTCTTAACGTTAAACTGAACTTTTATTTTGACGGGTTGCCGTGAAGAATTTGCAGCTGCTGTGTATGTGATATGAGGGTAGTTTTCTCAAATGCAATGGTAAAATGCTAATGAAGTGACTCTCAGAGCAGCTGGAGATGACATTCGTGTTCATATCATCATATAGTGAGACGGCAGAAGCTGAAAACACAGCGAGCGTCATCCGCGCTTTAGTATGTGTGTAGTAAACAAAGTGCGCCGTGCCATCCGCCATTCATTCATTGCGGAAATCATGGCGCCTTATGCGTGATATCAAATGCTTCCGCAGATTTATAGTATTACTATAGCATTTCACCTGAGCATTGCGAATCATGCGTATGGCCATGATAAGCGCTGAATGAATGACAGGATTTCTGTTGTAACATTGCGCAAGGTAAATAAGGGTGACATCTAGTGTAGAAGACTAATGATAAGATTCACGTTAATCAGGTCTTGTTTTTTAAATGTGCTGAAATAAATCCCGGAAAAGATCGATTCGCGGCTTTTGAGAATCGATATCGAATCGATGTCATTTAAAAAAACGATTAATCGAAAAATCGATTAATTCTCACACATTTTGACCAATTCCATGACATTTCCAGTCATTTGTGGTTTCTATAGAGACTGCACTCAAAAAAATCATGCCTGGCAAATCATAATTATGATATTAAGTCACAGTTATAAGAAATAAGGTCAAAATTATGAGATAAAAAGTCAAAATTGACAAACATTTATAGGATAAAAAGATTATGACACAAAGTTGAAATTATGACAAAACAATTATGACTATCAAAATTATGACCAAAGTCAATTCTGACTTGTCAAAAAGTCAAAATTATGAGATAGAAAGTCAAAATGATGTATTCTTTTTATGTCATAATTATTATTCACCAATGTGCAAATGGGCTTCCATACAGGGCCAATTTCTAACCCATTAAATATCTATAAACATCTGAAAATTACTAGAAAATGTATTATTAACTAAAAAAATTACAATGTTTTAAAATGTTTTCCAGACCTGGAAATCACAATTATAAAATTCCCTCATATTTTCCTGTTTTACATAACTGTGGGAACCCTGTAAATTTTATATATTTATTTTCATTTAAATTTGAAAAATAATAATAATAATCTTCTCTACACCTTTACTAGTCCTTACATATCTCTATTCTAGTCTGTACTCCTTTGAATAATCTTGGAACTTTGTATTACAGCACTTCTGCCGCTTTAGAATGAATCTAATTTGTATTTTTGTATTTCTAATTTGGAAGTTGCTAAATGAATGAATGTAAATGATGCATCCAAACAGAATGTATTCTCACCTATAAGATGCAAGAGGTTCTTTTGCTTTTAGAGTATTTAAAACAAAGACAAAAAGAAATCCACAGCCTCCAATGCATGTATGAACATATTTATTACACAGTAAAGAGTACAACAATACCAGAATCATACTGCAAAGATTCACAGACTGACAGACCATTTACTACAGCCCCCAAAAATGAGAGAATAAAATAAAGAAAACAGATTAAACAAGAAACCACAGCTCTGACATAGTAGACTCAAAAACCCTAGAGTATACTGAAATGGTGTGACAGTCCACACCCTCCCAGCCCACCTGTAACCTGTGGTTCATGTTTACATTAAGTATTGCACAATGACTTTCATGAGTTTTTTTTTTCACAATAAAGATTTTCGAAGAATCCTACAACTGCCCGTCCGGAACCCACCCGACCAATTAATTTCACTTAATGTTTCAACTGTCCCTTTATTATCCCAAAGTTTAATTCACTTTACAAACTGGAGAAAATAAAAACGTAACACCTGGCAAACAAGGCATGCGCAAATTCACCAGCCGTTACTTTTCGCTCACGTTTGGCGCGAATCCCTCATAAACACGAACCTAAATGACACTGACGAGCAGCCAAGCGTGTCTCACAACAGAAGACAGAAATGGGGGAAAAGGGGGTGCAGGAAAAGAGGAGGGCAATAAGAATATATCACATTTCTCATCTTTGACCATGTATTGAATTATAGTGTATATCAAATGGAGTCAACACTCTGAATTTTTTTTTTTTCTAATCACTTTACTAGTGATTTGTACATGTGACAAACTTAAAAAGAACATAACTTTTTTTAATGTATTCTATTCATTTTTTTCTCTCATGAGGTCTGCATTGTTACCAAGTAGTGATATGGTTTGCAGCTATATGAGCTTTTAACTTTGGGTTTAAGTCCTGTTCTCATGTTCCCATTTGGTTTGACTAGACCAGTGTCCGCTCAGCGACTGGTGCTCCTAACATGCTGTCAGAGGTAGAGTGAGACTTTTTGCCACCGAGGGAAAAAAGGTTGTAGCAAAACAGACGTACTAGACTGGGAAGGAGAAGGAGTTATTTAACGCTTCATCCGTGCTTATTTTATTCAGGTCACCCTGATCGAACTCACTACACTAACTATAGGCTATGTATTTTTCAAAAATAGTACACTAGTGTTTCAAGACAGCTTAGCTGGCAGGTTCTCTGGAGATGCGGACAGGTGTCTTACACCTTTTTTTTTTTTTTTGGATTATTTAACCATAGCATGCCGGAGGAGGCTGGGAGCATGTCCAGAGCCAGCCACTCCTCCTAAGAGGTCAAATGCACAGCGTTTAGCACCATGGTTTGGGGACGTGAGCTGTCAGAGTGCAGTTAAGTGCCCATTTAGACCCCTCTTCCTCTTTAGCCATTGACGAGGTTGTTTAGTTTTAGATTCTCACATGGCTTTTTATCTTGAGCTGAAACACTTGAAGGTTTGGTTATGTGCCATTCATGAACGAGAAGAGCTTCGGTTCGGTTGGGCTGGTTGCCTTTCGGAGCGGCGTTCTTATGACGAATCCGTTTTCGAGGAATGATACGGAAGAAAAAACGACGACAATGAAACGGTTGTGAAACCTCGCTCTGCAGGATCTACATATGAGATCCACCTTTTTGATTATTGCTCAATCATTCAGACCACCTCATCCTCACGTAAAACCCTCTTTCCTTAGGAACTGCTACATGGTTTTGAGTGGCTCCTCCTCTCTACGAGCTGAACAGGGCTGGTCTTGGCTCTGGACAGGGGAGAGTTAAAGGTTTTCGAATGGAAACTTTGCTCAATGTGGCTTCCCCTGATAAACACGTTGAGAAAACAAGAATACATTGGAGTGAGTCTCTTTTGTCATAGATAAAACCAGGTTTTGGTCCTTCATGTCTGTCTTTGGCTGTCTTCCATGTTAATTCTTTTGTAATACTGTGTATCCTGGTGCGCTGAAGTGTTAAAGCTGTCTGTTTTTCACCTATGCATTTGGAAAGTTAGTGTCTTTTTTGTACATTTTTTTCTTTTTTTTGTAGAAAACAAAAACAACATATACTATAGTGTTCAGTATGCATATGCATGCACTGTCCTTAACTATTCAAAGCAAAATGTTTAGAAAATTTTTTAACAAAAGCAGATTGTGATACTTCTGTTTTCTTTTTTCTATTTTTTTTTTTTACAGATTTTTCTCAATTTTTTAACAAGAAAAGAAAATCACAGATATGTAATGAAGCACTCCAAAGATAACCTATGAAGTGAGGCTCCCTATGGAAAAAAAACTGCCAAAAGAAGCATGCTGAGAGAAACCGTGACAGTGCAAATACATTTATGTACGTCCCATGTACAAAAACATTTATGTTAGCATTCCATGTAACATGCTAGTTCTCAGAAAAAACATCTGAATGAGACTGAAGTAGCAGCTCTGAGAGATAGCGTTTGTCTTTTGAGGACAATGGGAAAAGTGTTTTTTCTTCTTAGAGAGCTACAAGGGGACTAGAACAAACACATACGAATAGAAAAGCAGCTTGCGAGAGAGAGAGCAAGAGAGAGAGAAAAAAAGAAAATATGTTCTTCCTTTTTGCACCTAGAAAGACTAAAAAGTTGTGACTGTGGTTTAAACTATTAATGCGTCGTCACAATTGTCCAGCACATGTACAATAAATAACCATTGGAGACGGCACAGCACACAAGTGTTTAACACGATGAGATCTAGAAGGGCAAAAAGAAGCAGAACGAGGACTGATGGTGGGATTAGAGATAGGCAGGACAGAAGAGGGGTCTGGGCTGGCTCCAACAGCCAGGGATTTATGGGTAATTTCTCAGCCCTTTGTTTCCCAGCGGCTGTCACGGTGAGTTTCTGACAGTCCTGCTCTGGTGGGCCGATGACTTCACTTCCTGTTTTGGGAGCAGATGGAGTGCATTTGGGATCAGGGCTCAGAGTGCATCCTTCATTACGCCGTGTGGTACTCAACATCCAACACGGGCCCTCCTCGCCCCTACATTCCTCAGTGAAACAGCTTTTTATTTCTCAGACCATTGACCTGGATATTATCTTGCAGAAGAGGTACGGACATCTGCGTTCCTTCACAATCTGCTGCACATCTGCAGAGTTCAGTGCGCGAGCCAGAAACGCCGTCCGCCGTCTACTCCACCACGTCCGACAGATGCCTTGTTGACTTCTTTACAAGGAACGCTGTCTTTTTGTCTTAATTTTGTCTTAAGTGTTTGCTTTCATCAGCTATGAAGTATTTCCTTGGTTTTTGTCATTTAAAGTGTCCTTTAATGAGGTCAAATAGTTTTATATCCCAGCTACTGGATAAAGAGCTTTGAGAACGGAACGAAGGAGGAAAAAAAAAACGACAAAAAAACGGAATGAAGGGGAGGTCAAATATACTCATCGAGAGGTCCCGGCTGTCTACTCCATTTGTCTTCTTATTTACAAGAATGTAAGAGAGCCATAACAACAATAAACGACATTATCAACAGTAATCGATAATAGCTGTAGTAACAATAAAGAACAATGAGAATTCAAACAAAGAATATCTTTGCGTTCTCTATCATGGCAAGTCAATATGACCCGAAATGGACCTCCTGTGGGTGATCGCCCTAAGTACAGTCTTCTCTCTTTGTTAGTGTGCTAGATTTAGCATTTTGGAGCGAGTGAGGCAGGTGAGTCAGTCCCCGGTCAGCTGAGGCATCAAGAACGGCCCACTCGGGGCTCTAGCGCGGCGTGGTCTCTATGGCGGAGGGCGTGCCGGGCGTGGCCGAGCGAGGAGTAGCGGCGGATGGTGTGTTCGCGGGGCTGCCGGCTCCGCTGCTTGGGGTGGCCGAGGAGCTGACGGTGGCGGGGGTCTCGCCCTGCTGCTGAGCCTGAAGAGTCTGGCCACATACGTGGTGGTGCTTTTCCCAGTCCTTGTGCTGGCAGAAGGAACCGCAGTAACGCGCTGTGTTGCAGCCGCTGCAGGTCTCGCTCGCCTTGCGCCCGCAATTCCAGCAGCTCTGCACGGGAAAGAGGGAGGAGGAGGTTTACGCTGTGATATATATAAAAAAATGTGCACTTCTTTCCATGGGTATTATCCCAATTAGGAAATAATAGATGCACAGACCTTTGAGAAAAACGAGCGAAAGTCTCGGCTCATTAGCAGCAAACACTTCCTATTTGAGTTTAAGTCTAAATAGAGAATTCTGCTTTATTTTTCTTTGGATCTCCCTGCTTTGAAAATGAAAGTCATTTTACCCAGTTCCACATGGCGCTACGTGAGGATACATTTGTAACAGGTTAACTACAAAACGCTTAAAGATCACACAGAAACTCAGGTTACCACTGTGGCCTCTTTGTGTTTGTCTCCGGGCCAAATAAGAGCAATTATCACAAAGTCTCGAATGCGTCCCAGAGACAAGAAGCCAAAGTTATAAACAGCTACCGACGCAATCCTCCAGGGGGACGTGCATAAACATGGCTCGTGCAATTAAACTCGGATGCGTGCCGCCTTTCTGTGCTAACTGATTAAACGAGCCGTACCCCCGCTGTGCGCAGACACTCGGCGCTCCCTTCCCAATTTCCCTCATCCAAATCAGTACCACCTTAACTGTCCACATGTTTCATTTAGAGGAGGAAAAGCGCCGCTCTGCCTGAGGTGATAAATGCAATGTTATATTCCTCGGCTCTGCGTGACACCGGGCTGCATGAGGAATTATCTGGGACACACTTTCTCTTCCCCCTTTCATATGATCTCCATGTTTTCCAAAAGATTTCCATACTGAGGAGATCAAATGTAAGCTATGGAAATAAAACAGCCCAGCCAAGTAAATCAGGCATCTGCATATAACATAAAATAAAATAAAATCCCCAAGATAATATATAATGCAAAATATAATAAATTATGGAATATATCACCACCCCCATGAATCATTGTGCAGTATGTGAATGTGCAGCTGTTCACTAATATAATAACAATGTGCGGTAGGCGTACAAGCTGTTACCTCACTAGAGTCCTCCTGCTGGTTGATGACTGACAGCGCGTCCTCTGCCGCTTGTCTCTTGGCCTCGGCCACCGTGCGCTCCATCTTGGCTCGCTCAGTGCTGATCATCTCGTGGGCCTTGCGCTCGGCCTCTGACACGGCTTTCTGCAACTCAGACATGGCCTGCCTCTTCACCTCATTCACAGCCTCTTCTGAAAGAAAGAGCACAGTGCTTTTAAGTGTCCAGGGCACAGCAACAGAAACCCAGCCAACAGTTCAGAGAGAATAACTGATGTTAACATAACATATAATCTGCAGCTCTGCTAACTAGATAAAAACGTTACAACTGTCTGCTGTACAGATTTGTCCAGCTAAACTAAAACATGATTTATGTGACAACATCTAAGGCTTACAAAAAAACAATAGAAAACCGCACTAATGCACGACCAATAAATTGAAAGTGCTTATGCCATAAACCTTTAAGAATCTCTCTCTCTCTATACACACAATCACCTAACAATAGTATCTGACATTTTAATTCAATTCAAGTAACTCAACAGCTAATTATTGTGCATTTTGAAAGCTATTTTTATGTTGTTTAATTGATCCTATTGGCTTGTTTTGTTCAAAAGCAGCTGAGAGATTAATCTGGGGATTAATTAGAAACATCCATTTTTATTTGAATGGGCTCAGATGACTTTCTGTGTTTGCTGAATACAAATAAACAGGAAAAAGTGCTTTTGTTTTGCCTCAAACCAAAGACTTGACTGTAGTGCACAAGGCAGATTCCAGGTAATCCTTGATATTTTTTCCTTCTGAAGTATAAATGTATTTCCTTGAACTCGTACTTTATCTGTACTTTTACATTGTTATCCCATTAACCGTAAATACTTCTGGCAGGAAAACTCATCTCAAGAGCAGACTAGGGTTTTTTTTGTGTTTGTTTGTTTTCATTGTTCAAGGCTGCAGCCTGACTAATTGCATATGCAAATTGGGCAATTTATATTTAAATTGTGCATGTCAATTGTGCCCCCAAAGGCCCATGCAGATCAGGATATGGCACTGTGCGAGAAAGGGCTTGAATATTCATCACCTACTGTACACAATCTTTCTAAAAAAAAAAGGACATTCACCCCTTATTACACTGTGGCAACTTGTGAAGACCTCTTTAAGGCAGTTCTGACTCTTAAACACTTTTAGCTTGGGCTGTGTAACCATCACTAGAGGCGTACAATGGTTTAGAAAACAAGGAGTTTTAATAGACTAAACTGTCATAGTAGTCTCTTGTTCTGCAGAAATGGATGGCTGCGGTTGTGCAGACCCTCCTCCCCAGTCTTAAATATGAAGGAATATAGAGCCAGGGACATTTTCATCAAGACTGGACTGAATTGTGAAACCATGGTGGTTTGGTGCACAAAGTCGTCCTCTTGATTGGCTGAGGTCACGGAAAACGCACCACATTCCCTGATACATTTTACTGCATTTATATATGACTATTCAGATGGAATTTCAATCTGTGGTGATTTTTTTAGGGTGTTACTACCGCCGTTGTGATGTGAAGGCAATGTATTAGCTAAAATGAGCAGTCTTTTGTAACGTCACTTTCATGGTAAGGTTTGTTTGCTGTTATAAAGCCTCTGGTAAGACCACACAGCAAAGACAAACTGCTTTAGCAGATGCGTCTGTCATGTATTAGCATGCTGAGGCCAAGGTAAACAATCTGCTATTACAGAATCCATCACTTGTCATATTTCACAGATTAACTGCTCTTTAAACAAAGCCTTTTAATATCATTATCCGTCTTTTAACCATCTCCTCTGCTGTGATAAAACAGAGTGCCGTGGAGAGCTGAGAGCCTGTTGCACAGCTAATGGCAGGAGTGCTGAAATGCTGTAAAGGCTGGGAGCAGGGAGCCTTTACCTAAGTGTCCTGTTCAGCCAGAGCAATAAAAGAGCTTTATGATCTGACATCACTGTTGGAATGTGTAGAGGTGCTTCCAGTGAAGCCAATCACTGAACTGCCCAACACATAACTCCTTGCAAAATGCCACAAAAACGAAACAGCACAACAAAAATGTCAAAACTCACTAAACCTTCCAAATGTTTTATCAGCTTCTAAACATTTTTTGTTAATGTTGGTTGCTAAATGATGGTTACATAAAATGCATGATCACTAAATCTTATTTTTGTCCTTGAAAGACTTTATTTTTAATAAAATCTAATTTTTCAATAAAATATTTTTATTAAACAATTCTAGTAGCTTTAAAAGCATTTAAATTGAATTCCTGTTTATTTATTATATTATTTTTATTTATTGTATTTTATTTATCATTTATTTATTTAGAAATATAAATTTATTTATTATTCAGTTTTTACCGAGTTATTAATATTTGTTCTTGCCTAGTGTTTCAACTTCTATTACATGTACATAATTTCTTGTGCATTTAATTAAAAAAATTCCCCCCTGATTTTTCACAAGAACAACCGTGATCTCAGGAAAACAACTGTTATGTCGAGAACACACCAGAGTTTGGTGTGACACCGAACAGGTTCCCACCTGACTCTGCAGTTCTGCATACAAATAACTAACTGACTGACTGATTGAATTTCAGAGAGCTTTTAAATCACAGACAGGCTTTGAAAGAGCTCTGTCTGAATAATTTAGCTTTGATTTTCCACCTGCGCTTATGAGTGTGTGTACATGTTTAAAAAAATGAAAAAGACAGCATGCTAACCGGCTTTCTTCCAGATTTCTTCAGGTACGTATCCAGACACTGGCCTGTGAAGGACCTCCCTATGGATGTCTGGAAGAGAGAGAAGAAAGGACACTTCATTTACAATGAACAATACATGGTACAACCATTCTACCAGTCAAAATAACTGATTGATCATTAATTATCATGAGGACAATTGACTAAATTTGTTCTTTTTAAGATCAAACATGTCAAGTTTATACACAAACAGATGCACGAAATAGAACATGAGGCCTTTCAGGTGATGTAGACACCTTCTTGTAATGAATAAGTATTACCTAAAGCATTACTTTCTTGACTGGCGGGGCTCTGCTGTCTGGACTGACTACTGCTGGAGCTGCTGGTCTTTTTAATATCTTCAGCATCACTGTAACGACGGATCCAGTAGTTGAGCTCCTCCCGGTCAGCCTCCTGGCACCTACGCAACACTGTCAGAGATCGGCGTGTCTTCTCCACCATATCCATAATGCAGTTCAGGAGCTGCAGGGGAGATGCAGGCAGAGTGTTACCAACACAACATCTGCTCTAAATAGAAATGACCAATTTAGATATAAAAACACAATGTTAAAGGCTTACATTGGATGATGACTCACACCTCTATATGTTTACAGTCATTAAAGCACTAATGCCAACCCCTGACAAAAAGTTAATGCTCTGAGGTTGCTCGTTTATAGCTCAGGAGACCTTACAACTTAAATAACAACTGCTGTTTGTCCTAAAACGTATTAGACAAAAAAAACTGTTCATATTAATATAGATATTTTGGAAGAATTTGAAAGAAATCTTTGTATTCATGTCAAAATCTTTGATTTATGATTGCAGACGTTGGTATCTTGCACAAAAATCTGAGAAACAGGAGACTTAAAACAAAAATCTCCAGCTGAGCTCAATATAATCTCATTATTGTTTAGAAGAATGGTAAATAAATACAAAAAACATGCAAACACAGAAACATACCAGCAAGCACACTTCTAGTGTCGTATTCTCTCTCCCTCTCTCTCTCTCTCACACACACACACACACACATGCACTTTGGATAGTAATAAAAATGTTATTACTTTTCTTACATGGTCAAGGTGCTTCCACTCTTCTGCCCATTCTCTGTCTGTGAGTCTGTGATCTATGACTTCCTCCTGGCGAGTGCTGCCGTGCATTCCTGACACAGAACGAGAGCAAGAGGGAGAGCGAGTGTTAAACGTGTTACTATTTGGGCCTTGGTTTTCCATTTCTCTTGCTTGCCCTCAGCAGCATGTCGTGCCCGTCTGTTTCACAGCCATAGCTCACCCGCTTCCTGACATCCTCCATCGCTCACACACCCTTCATTCCTCACATGCTCTCATCCCTCACTCCGTTCTCCAGTGCAGCCTGCGGGCATGCTCTCTCGCTCTCTACACATCACACCAGAGCTGCCAGGCTTATGCATATCTCGTGCATATATCACAGGCTAACATGCTTGAGTATTTTTAGCACATTTAAACCCGATATGGCAAGCTGGTTTTATGTAAACCTCAAATCATTTTTAAAGAAGTTTATGTTCCTGATCCAACTAAGCCTCGCCTGGTTTAACTTCTAAGAGTCTGAGTGGCATGCAGTGGACTTTTGAGGATTTACAGCATTGGCAAACTCAGCCACGGAGAATGAGGCTTCTATTGCTTTTATTTTCTCAAAATAATCTGAGAAATGTATTGAAAGTTTTACACACACACACACACACACACATATTAATATTTTATTTGTTTTATTATCATTGATTTTAATTATCATTAATTTAATTTACATTTTATTACTTATTTATTTAATTAAGTAAGTACCTTTTCCTTAAAAAAACACTTTTACTGTGACACTCTATTTTTCTGGGGTTTACTAAAGGCTATGAACTGAATTTGAGCCTCATTTTATTTGAAACTTGTTTTTACCCTCAAAATTTATAGGGGTCTTGCATCAAAATGGAATATGTTATTCATAAAGTTTGAGGATTGGAGGAATTGGTGGCCGCAGCCGTGGCAAAGGCGGCTTATATTGCACGTCTCAGACTCTAAATCTTTCATAGCACAGTAACGCTCTTATTAATGACTGTCCCCAGATGCTAGTGTAATCTGCTCTCTCTTACCCAGCGGCCGAGGGCGGTCGCGGAGCTCGCGGTGGTTAGGGTGGCGGTAGGAATCTCTGTAGTGGTGTGCGATGGCCATGTCGTCCAGACGGTAGTGCTGTGGAGGGGGCGGGGTGGGGTGCGGCAGGCCGTTGGGCTGGTAGGAGAGCCCGTTGGAGGGGCTGAAGCGCTGGCCAGGGCTAATAGTGCAGGGCCTCTTGTTGGGGTGCTCGGGATGGAGTGGCTCCCGCTCAAAGCCGTTCTCTTTGGTTCTGGAAAGAGATAGAAGAATCCAGAGTGAGGAACAGGAAGGAAAGAGCAGAAGTGTAAGAACGCTACACTGATGTAAATGTTATGATAGATAGACAGACAGATAAATTTTTTCTTGATTACGTATCTTAATTTGATGTTCTTTTAGTAACATTGAAAGTTAAAATTTATTCAGAAGATGAAAAAGTCAAATTGCATTCTGTGCACTGTAAAAAAAGAAAGAAAAAAAAAGTGTTCAACTTAAAGTGCTCATGCTGCTTTAAAATGTTACGTTTAGTCAACTTAAAATGTTGACAACTTAAATAGAATATTTCAGGTTAAATCCGGGAAAGTTATTCTAATGCAAATATTTTAAGTTGTGCTAATTGCAACAATATTTTTTTTACAGTGTATAAATTCTGAATAGGCATTTGTTTCTCACATTTAAAAAATAATAGGCCTATACCAAGCTTTTTAATCAGTCTGTTTTCAATTAGGGATACTATAACTGTCACGAATCCGGTCCATGAACTTCCGTCTGCTAGCCATCAGAGGTCACCCTTTCCATTTTCATTGACTCTCGCACTACACACTGTTGCATATCACCCCGGACTACATATCCCATTATTCATTGCACTGATTGCACACAGCACTGATTGCACACAGCTGTTTCATATCACTCACTCACTATTTAACACTCACTCGGATCCCTTCCCGGTGCCGAGTATTGTTTAGCGCTTATCAGTTGATAGCTACACTACAGAGCCCTCGTTAGTTTACCCTGCCTTAGCCTAGTCTTGCCTTGTCTGTTTTCTCGGTTTCTGATCCTTGCCTGGTTTCCTGGATTTATCCCTTTAGTCTTGCCCTTTTGATTCTGTTCGCCGTTCGTTGACCTTCGCTAACCCTAGGATTATTCTTGTGTCTTGCCCCCCATATACCTGTTTTGCCATTGGTCGACCCTGCCTGTGTTTCTGATCTCTCTGCTTAATAAAGCTGGCACATGGATCCGCACGTCTCACGTCTCATCAGCCCCATTACAATAACCATGTATGTGACAAATACAAAATCTTGAATCTCGAATCTTGAATCTTGAATACATGCATACATATATTTTTATAATTTTTAAAATAACATTCCTGCTGATGAAATCAAGCCTGCCTAGCCAGGGTAGATGTCACATTTAATTGGTTTAATAAAATTAGGCTGTGAGGACTATAAGTACCATCTGTTTGTTATATATATGTGTGTGTGTGTGTGTGTGCTGGTATATATGGTT